CCCAGCCCGGGTTGCCTGAGGGCCGGGCCACGGAGGGCTGGCCAAAAACGGAGAACCGAGCTGGGAGAGGTGCGGGGGCTCCGGCGGTACGGAGGGGACCTTGTTTCCACCCTTCTTCTGAGAGGGTCTGGTTTTTTTTCCACCATCCTACCCTTACCACTTTCTTTTTCATCACTACCAATTCATCTTCCTCACGCTTTAAGCCAGAATAACCTGAAGACAAGCCCGCCTAGTCTTCGAGCACAAGCTTCCCGGCGCGTGGGCTGTGGGGAGGCAGTTCACCGCCAGACGCGGTCCCGTCCCGGCCGTCCCACGGGCCGTTTCCACACCACGCCAGAAGGAAGGCGGCAGCAGCCCCGCGCGCCGGGAATCGCCTTCGCGGGACCAGAGCCCGCACGGGGAAACGCAGGTTTTAATCAGAAGAAACCACCTTCCCGCAGCAACGAGGGAGCCGGACTCCCACCTGCTTTACCTTGCCCGTGCAGCCAACCTGTCCCACCACCTCCTGCCTCCCCCTCGCCTTCCCGAGGGCGAGATCGCATGGAGATAGCGTCGGTTTCAGATCCTTCGACAGGAGGTGACAATACAAGGTTCACATATAGTCCTTACTATTAAAACTACCCAACGGGCGATACCGATGGGAATTTCGCTTGGGAGACTGTCTGAAGACAGCAATAAAGACTTCTCATTCAGGCAGGGCAATTAACCCGGACTGTGCTTTTGTCAACGGGCAGAGAGAAAGACCATAAATCTGCCAGTTTATAAAGAACATCCTGCACTTAGGTTAAGCTGAAACAGGTCGCTCCTTTCTTTTTAAACCTCACGTAGAAATGGCAAAAGCCAAGCTGTAAAGGCAAATGGCTTCTGGAGATCGCTTTTTCCAGTGCTGCCCCGAGTCGCGCAACGTGTTGCAACTAATTTAACAGATGCTTTAAACCATTTTACCAATCTGAATGTTTGAATTTCTGTTTGCCAGCGCTAGCAAGAGTAAAACAGCATCCAGACTGTTGCTGATAGAATATTATGGAAGACAACTAGGAAAGCCTTGACAAAATTTCAGGCAGCAGCAGATGTATTTCCACGCGAGTTACTCCATATATTTTTCTTACTCTTTATAAACAGAAATTTCAGGTCGTGATGCAGAAAACACTGTCCACCTTCTCTGCCACTGGACTTTTTCTGCCCCAGCTTCCAAAGGCAAGCCAGGCTTACGCTGGGTACTTACCACCCACCAAGGATTATGTTTTCCAGGTGTATAAAGACAACAGAGCAGCTCATACCTCTCCTTAGAGCTTCCTACGCACTGCCTATGTGCTTTGAAAATAGAAATCATTTCCGTGCACGTGCCCAGGGGACCGAGTATCTCCTGAATTACCGCGCTCCAAGCGCGCGGACGTGAAGGACGGGTATCTCCGTGGCCGCGGTGAGGCACGGCTGTCGCCCGTGCGTCTAAGTCCTAACCCGCACGAGGTGCTGCTGCGGCAGACCCCACCGCCAGTCCTTTCCACGCAGGGCGGCCGGCGCTTGCCAAGCAGGAGGCTGGCGAGGAGGCCAGGAGCCATCCCCTGGCTGAAGCACATCACTTGCAGTGTCAGCGCCTTCTCCAGAAACACTACTGGGAGAAAGAAAAAACCCAACGTTAACCGTGACCTTGCTCCGCTTTTCACTTATGGTTACCATCGTGCGTGGTCCTTCCCCTATTTCGCACATGTCCATTTTCAGAGGGATCTTCAAAACCGACTTACCACCAGGGATTTCCCTTTGGCACGAAACATCCCTCTAAGAAGTATTTCTTAGAGCAATGTCACAGTGTCCCCTCTCCCATGGCATTAATAATCACGGCCTTCCCATGCTCACTCATACATACAGCCGTATGGGAAAGAACTATTTATGCCTTTGCCCAATCTCCGAACTAACCAACTGAACATAATGCCGGGTTTGATCTTCATTAAACGGGGCTGGCACAGCGGTCCGGGGAGCCGGGCTGTGCCATCTGCTGGCTGCCCGTGCCGGCCGTGCCGAGACGCTGCCTTCCCTCCCGCCGTCAGCCTTTGCCCCAACGGTTCTGGGGAGCCTGTCTCCAACGGCACGCCGATTTGTTACTTCCCTTATTTCTTGCTCAGATGGAAGTTGCCAGAATTTTGCTGGCCAGCCGCCGAAAGCTTTTCAAGGGAACACAAAGCCGCCTTGGATGCTCAGGGCTTGCCTGCAGATCTACGAAAGATCATCAGCCCTTCATTTTTGCGCAAAGCGCGTGAGCAGGCGCTGTAGTAATGAGATCAGTTAGCATCTCCGCTGGATATTTTCCGCATCCCACGTCACGCCCGCTATGCAACACCATTCCCCCCCCAGAAAAAGCACCTAAGCCGCTTTTTCCCCCCCCAGCGTGTTACCTTTTATTGACCTCTTCACAAAGCCTCGGGAGCGTAGCTCAGCATTATCAGTGGCGGCCTCCATCGTGATCCCAGCGCGGAGTTACAAGGTGTAGTTTTGGGAAAAGCTCTAGTTCCCTCCTTGGTGAGGCTGGGACACGCTAAAAGCCACGCGCTTCTCTCTGGGAAGAGCAAGCGGCTAACGCTGTGGATTGCTGCTCACAGGAGGGGAGGATGAGTGAGCACAGGTGAAGGACATCATTATCCCACAGGTATTAAGTTACACATCTCACCTGAGGCCATCAGGCTACAGGGAGCACTGCTCAAATGAGATGACACCTTCAGTGACCCCTTCAAGCAAGCCTCACTTTTGCCTCCGTCACCCTCTTGAAGAACAAGGGCCAAGGTTCAGCACGGGCCTCCGCCCGAGGAGCTGGGCTATTCCCAGCTCACCAGGAGAAGCAAGGCTCCAGATGGCGATTTTCGTCTTGCTCTCCGGCTTTTGATGGGATACAAGAGCCCTAGCTCCCTTTTGCTATGTACACGGGCCTGCATTAGTTTCCGTGTCCCAGGATCTTAACACCCCTCCTCTCCTTTGCAAGGATTTTGCCACATGAAAAGCATACGTAGGCTCACCCCCAGCCACTTCAAGCCGTGACAAATGATTCCTGACTCCTGCACCTACCTGCGGCCTGTCCTCCTCCCACACAGACACCTGCTACCAGTCCCAGCCCTGACCTGCAACACCAAGTTTTTGTTCCCTGCTGCCATCAACACTCCTCCGGCCCTCGCCGCAGTTTCCTTTACCCCCTGCCACGCAAAGTGCCGCGGCTCTGCAGGCAGGCAAAGATCTCCCAAGCAGTTTCACGGGGGGGGATCGACTCCCAATGCTTTGTAGCCTGTTTCTGTGGAGCAATTTAAAAAAATTGTTATTATGCAGCGTTTAACTGCTGTTTGGCCTGTCAGCAGCAGGGGGCAAACAAATGCAGGGCCATTAAACTCAGCAGAACTTGTCGGTTTGCTATTTTGTCCTAGATATCTATCTACCATATCAGAGTCCCCGCCAAAATCGTCATGCATAGCTCCATATCCCATGGATCCGGGATATCTAAGGACCTCAAAAAGTCTCCTTACTTCTATTCCCATCTGCCCACCCTAAGTTTACTGTTTTTCTACCTCTCCCTTCAACAACCAGCTTGGAAAATTAACAAGACATTCTTCAGTCAGCAATGAAGAGCACGTTCCCGGCAGAAACAGGCCTAGGCTGTGAAGGTTTACGTCAAAACCTGTGGAAGCACGTTTCACTCGCAGGAAACAAGCAGAGCACCCGCGTGTTTGAATGAGAGCATCCAGCCTGTCACAGGTCCAAGAACGCACGCTCGTATTTTGGTTTCCCCCGAGCCGATCGCACAGAAAAACCCCAGACCAAACCACTTAGATGCACTAGTGCTTCCGTAACACGGAATAGCATCGATTGACACGACGATTATTCCCCCTAAGTGACCGCACATAGGAACAGACAGGAATGCATGTAGATTGGTGCTGC